TCCCCTAAAACTTTATTATAATACTCATAACCAAATAAAAGTTAATAAAATAAATAACCATTTAGCAAGACTGGTTAAGAATGAAGAGAAGGAAGATACACATAGCCAATGTAAGAATGACATACCTTTAAAGAACAAGACCATACTTCACACTGTTCAGTTGGAACCTCCAGCTGGCATGATCTGGAAAGCTCCCTCCCTCCTTCTCTCACCCCTACCTCTCTCAAAATCCCACCCACCCAGAGAGTCTCCAATAAAGAAAAGGTGTCAAAATGCCCAGCTGCACATTGTTGTGACTATTGCAATTTCTTCCCACCTAAGCACTCAGCCTTTGACCATATTTGGGCACAAACTCAGATTGTGGAGGACAGGTCATCATCCCTATAAAGTCTCCCTGCTTTAGTTCCAGGGGAGAGGGGTACAGTGAGGAGGGTGTAGTGAGGGGGGCGGTGTGCAGCTTCTCTAGCCTCTATCAGTGAGACTGGAGTTGCAATCTCTGGGAGCTGTTTTGCTCAAATAAACTTGTTGTTATACTTTTTTCAATTTGGCTTGATCTGGCCTGTTTTGCTTTTTTAATTCTGCTTGATCTAGCCCACAGCAACTCCCAGAGATTGCAACTGGATCTGCTCATAAAGAGAACTCAATAAACCAAAGATCTTGGGCACCACTCCAAGTGACCCAAGATTGACACAGTCCCTTTCAAAACCCTAGTATAGGTTTCCACAAATAGACAATGTCATTTAAAAATTTACATGGCTCATATACTAGAAGAGATAAAATCTCCAAATTCTAAGGAAGAGCCAGCTAGGAAAACCACTCCCCAATATTAAGGTCTAGCAGAGAGAGTAGTGGAAAAGATAAAGTATTGAGAATGGGAAGATAGACACTTTCACTACTGGAAGGATCCCCTCCCCCAACAGCTGCAGCAAACTGTGCTTAACTAAATTCCCAGTTAGATGGCAAGCAATCCAATAAAGGATAGCCTTTCCAACAAATGCTGCTGGATTGCTACTGGCAAAATAGAAAGATTGCAGTTTTTGAAGGGACCAGCTCCCCATTTCAGCAGCCACGACAGTCTAACATGTGCTTGCCTGATCTTGCCTTGGTCCCTAGGAGGTCAGATGCTGGCCTCATGGCTAGGAACCAATCAGAAGTTAGCTGGTGGTGCTATGCATTACGGCTTTGGGTGTGCTTTACTGACAAGTGCACAGCAATGATTCGCAGAGCATAGCAATGCCCTGGGAGGGCCTATGGGCCATAACAACCAGTTGACCAATCAACAGAGGGCAAGTCCTCCAAGCCTTGAGGCACACCAATCCTGAGCCTGTGCGTACCCCTAGACACTCCCCTTATACTGCCCTATAAGATCTCTATGCCATGGTTTCTCGGCGTCTTTCCCAGCCATCCGCCGTGGTGGATGGATGAAAGGCCCAAGCTAATATGGGGTTAGCTCATTAAACAACTGCAATAAAGCCTCTGGCTGTTTGCATCAAGCTTTCACCTCCACCTGGTGATTGGGGTGCTGAGATCCTGAGCAGAGATCCTGGGGGCCTGAGCCTCTGGGGGTCTTTCGTTTTCCCGTAGTTCTCACACCAAAAAGTGGACCGTGAACTTAAATGTAAATTATACAGCTAGTAAAGTTCCAGAAAAACATATGGGACAAAATTGTCAGAGATAGGAAAATCATTCTTAGATTTGATAACAAAGTATCAGTCATAACTGGACAATATAAAATGAACTCAAATACTGACAAAATGTTTTACTTTGAAAGTTTGTTAAAAGAGGATACAACAATAAGCCACCTAATGGGAGGAAGCATTTACAAGCAGTAGATCAAATACAGAATTCACAACTAGCATATAGAATGAACCCTCAAATCTCGACAAGAATAAGAAAAAAAAAAAAAAACCCTAAAACATATCATTAGAAAATGGGAAAAAGATATGAACAAATATGTCACTGGGGAGAAAAAACAAGATGTCACCAAACACATCAGGAGATGCCTAGCATTTGTCCTCTGCAGACTGAAACCTAGATAAGATGTGACACATCCATCTAACTGGATGGTAATGACCACATGGAATGCTGCTGAGTAGAGAAACTGGATGGTTCAGGTGTTGTTGGTGGGGGATAAAACAGTTTTTAAGTCCTCTCTTGGACTGTGTGTGCACTTACTGTAAGAGGCAGCCACCACATTCCCATTTATCCCAGAGCAAGGAGAGCTCATTTTCAGACACAAAACAGGGATGCAGAGAAGTGTTAGGCCAGCATCATTCTTTCTTGTTTGCTTTTTGAGAAGATGTCTATCTATGTAGCTCTGGCTGTCCTGGAACTCACTGTGCTTGTAGACCAGGCTGGTCTTGAACTCACTGAGAACCCCCTGCTCTGCCTTGGTGGGGGTGTGTTTGCCAGCTTTCATCTTAATGTTCTAAAACTGAAAACTGCTCAGCTTGCCTTTAACAGGAAGGAACTGGCTCAATAGTAATGCTTCCTTGCACTGTGAAATACTGCTTTGAAAGGAAGAGGTTTGGACTCCCTGTTAGCTCATTTGTGCAGACAAGCTCTGGTGAATTAAGTCAGGTAAAAAAAAAAAAAGTCCATTCTGGAACCGGGCGTTGGTGGCACACGCCTTTAATCCCAGGAGGCAGAGGCAGGCAGATCTCTGTGAGTTCGAGGCCAGCCTCGTCTCCAGAGTGAGTGCCAGGATAGGCTCCAATGCTACACAGCGAAACCCTGTCTCAAAAAACCAAAGGGGGGGGGGAGAAAGAAACAAAAATCCATTCTGACGAGTTAGATATAGTTTCTGAGAATACAACATTTTCTTTTTTGCAATGACAAAATTTGTAGCAATGGAGAACAGGAGAGTAGACCCAGGGCTCAGATCTGTGGTGGGTGGAGGAAGAACTGGAGGGAAATGTATATGGTTTGCAAGAATGGCATGAGGGAACCTTGGTAAATGGAACTCTTTAGTGTGTTGACTGGTGGCATCCCACATGTGACAGAACTGTGGGGTATGAAATCCAAAACTGAGTCTAGGAAAACTTCAGCCAACTTGCATGATATTACTGTCCTGTGACAGCCTCCTATGGTTTGTGAGGTGTTTTTATTGGGAGAAATGGGCATGTTGGGGGGGGGGAGGCACAAAGGCTCCCACTGCATTATTCATTACAACTTCACAGTTATCTTAATGAACAAATCAAAGGGAGGCTAAGAGTTTGAATTCCAAGGGCAGTAGGCTCAACCCAGGCTGAGAAGGCTCTTAAGAGGTGACCTTTAAATTAGACTTAAATGAATAAACAGTGCTTAGGCAGAAAGACCTCCAGATGTACTAGGCAGGTCTTGGAGGTTTAGATAATGACAATAGGCAGAAGGAGGCAGGCTGGGGAGACCCAGCCTTAGGTTGCCTGTGTTTACACACCAAATTCATTTCCTAAACTGATTTCTGACTCTAATAGGACAGGATAACCAATCCCTCAGTTTCTATCAAAAAATCTTTGAAGATTACCTATGATAAAAGTCAGTGTGAAACTAACTTGTATTTTTATTTTGTTGTTCTTGGTTTGAATTTTGAAGAAGGGTTTCTTTGTATAGCTTTGACAGTCTTGGAACTAGCTCTGTAGACCAGGCTGGCCTTCAACTCATAGACATCCTCCTGCCTCTACCTCTTGTGCTGGTACTAAAGGCATATGTCACCACTACCTGGCCTAAAGAAGTGGCTTCTGGGCACTGAATTCTCAACTATGATTGAGAGTTAGAGAGGATATAATCTGCTAAGGACCCACTCCTGATAACATACATAGACAATTGCATCTCAGCCCGCCACCTTGCACAACAGCTGTGTTCCCTTGTAGCAGTTAGCAAACAGATCTCAGCAGTGTTCCAACAACTCATTGAATTCTCAGGATGCAGCAGCCTCACCAAGCGCTCCAAGGCTAGGTGAATCTTCCAGATATCCTACCTGAGAAATCCTACATCTTGCCAATCAGGTTTCCCAAAGGTCAATTACCAGAGGTGCAAGGCAGCCATCAGCATCTGCCCCATTTCTGAGCACAATTCATAAAATTTCCACGGAGATTTCATCATCCCTGTTTCTTTGAAGACATGCTGCCTGAACAGGCTCCACATTCAAATGTGTAGCCCTTACTAAGGGCATCTTCGGGTTATTTGAATTGCATCAAAGGGACAGTCAGTCATTGGGAGGACAGGAGGCCATGGAATTTCATGCCTCATGAGGCTGGCAAAAACTCTGAGCCTCTCTGAGCTACGGGAGGGGGCAGGGTGTGACTGAGTAAGATGGTAGTCTCACCTTCAGCTGTGGGCAGCCTGTTACTTCATGTGACACAGAAGTACGTGCCCTTCTGCGCGCAAAGCAGAGGGAGCTTTTCCTTTCGTTCCCACTAACAATAAAAATGCTGGCTGTTACCCACTGTAGCCCCACCTAATAATGGCCAGCTGGCTATTTGAAAATGTCTGCCCTCAGTGAGGGGTATTCTAGAAACTAGCTCACAAGAGGGGAGGTTCTGTCCAGGAACAGTGCTCTAGAAAGCCCTACAGCTGCTGGATTAAAAACAGTGTAACCAGAATCTCTAGTTTATTATGTGCCACTTAGCGATAAGCAGGGAAACAGAAATTTGTAAAAAAAAGGAAATAGTTTTGTTTATATTTGAGCCTGAACTGGATGGGGGGAGGAGGGGAGAAAGCCCTTCTTCCTAGTTTTCCTGTACTAGAATTACAGTGAACAGGAAAACAGACACAAAGGCCTGTAAATGTGCATATGTAGATTTAGCGGTGGGACAAGGTAACAGAATGATTTCCTGGAAGAAAGTTCCTCTTCTGGCTCAGAGGTTCAGGCTGTTCTCACACCATCTTTACAATCACGGGGACAGGGGTGGGAGGTGGGGTGGGAGGGGTTAGCTGGCACCAGCATCTGGACCAGGAATGGGAAAAGAGCAGTCAGTGTGTGTGTGTGTGTGTGTGTGTGTGTGTGTGTGTGTGTGTGGCATACCCTGGTTGCTGTTCTGTAGTTGGAAGTTGCTCTCAGGTTTTGTTACTGGACAGTAATGGGGCATGGTTCTCTGGTGCTGCCTGGCCTTGGATAGGCCCCCTCCTTTGCTTACATCAATGCTTAAAGGAGATTCTCCAAAGTCCACACCTTTAGTATTGGGGCTTTCTGCCTCACACAGATCAGCTGAGGTGGCTCTTAGAGCTCTGAAGGCCCTTGTTTTGCTCTCTGCCACAGGCTTTGATGATGTTGATTTCAGAGTGGCATAGAAAATGTCGAATACAATTTTGTGTTCAGGCTCAGTCATTTGCAGGGTTTCGTGACTCAGAAGTTGGTCTTTGGTACTTTGAATCCAGCTTCACTTGTAGGCTCCTAGAAATGAATGGGAGAGACCTTAGTCTTCCCAGGAGCAGGATCATAGGCAATTCTGCTACTGTCTATTCTCAGGAACCTAGGTCCTTCTGAGAGGCAAACAGTGGTTGTGCTGGGCTGTTTTCGCTCCCCCCCCCTCCCCTAATTCTCAAACCTATTTGTCCTCTCACCAGAGTGCCAGCTAGCTGGGGAAGCCAAACTAGGAATTGTGTGAGGAGAGTTCTGGCAGGTCCGGGTGGCAGCTGGGGGTGGGGAGTCACAGTGCCATGCAGGGCAGTGGTGCCTTCTGCCAGATAGCTGTGACTGAATGAGTCACTTCCCCTACTGGGCAAGCGATCCCCTGGCCTTCCCTCAACTATGGAGGATATCCCTGGATCAGGAAGAACCCGGAGGGGAAGGGGGAAAAAATCAAAACAAAACAGAAACTGGCCCGTGATACTGAAAGGACACAGTTGACAACAGCCTAGCTCTGCATTCTTGACTGCATCCACGCGGTCATTCCCTCACTATTTCCAGATAGATGGACCTGGGCCCTGCCACTAGAGGTGACCTTGGGTAGCCCCACCCGGTCATTCCCTCACTATTTCCAGATAGATGGACCTGGGCCCTGCCACTAGAGGTGACCTTAGGTAGCCATACAGCCGCTTCCAGACCGTTTCTTTGCCTGTGAAACAGGTGAGATCACAGCTTGGGTACGATTTCATTCATAGTAAGGGAGGCTATGGAGCCACTGGGATGGCTCTGGATAACTTAAAATTGTCAGCTATCCCCAAACCATAGGAAATAGAAGTTGGAGGCTCTCGAGCAACTTTTCCGGGATCAGGATGGAGAGTAAGAGAGTCAGAGAAGGTGTGGACCGGGTGTGTCTGGGCGAGCAGGCCCTGGGTGCTGTCAGCTGAGCCCTAGGGTGGAGCTGAGGCCAGGCGGTGACCCCTGGGCGGGGCTGAGGGTTACAGGTCCGAGGAGGCGTGTTTGCGGTCATTTAGGTTCTCCTTTCTGGTCGATTCCTTCCTTTAAAAGGTCTGACACGCCGATTCTCTCTCACGATTCTCCAGCCTTAGGAGCCATTCGCGCGGCCGGTCGAGACAGAGCGGTGAGCAGTCTGCTTTGCCGGATCCTCGCAGGGTCTCTCTCTCTGTGTAAGTGAGGATGGGAAACTCCGGGAAACTCGGGGCGACCGCTAGGATGAGAACGCGCAGGGAGCGGGAGGGAGAGCTCGGTGAAAGTGGGCGGACCGCAGCGCACTGAGAGCATCGCGCCCGGATGCTAGCTAGGTGTCGGCCCGTGACCTCTCTGCAGATGAAGGTGCAGGCGCCACACTCGGGGACGCGGAGCCTGTAGGGGGTGGGGGAAGAGGAGGAGAGCACGTGAGGCACGAGCAGGGGAGGGACGCGCCTGTAAGGAGAGTGCAGCTGAGAAAGCAGGTGAGGGATGAGCAGGTGAACGGCCAACAGACCTCTCAGGTCCTTGAAGAGTATATCCATCCAGTCCCTCACCCGGAAGAGAGAACCAAGAACCCTTGCGCAGCTCAGGCCACCCAGAAAATAAGAGCTGGAGGCTTTACACCTGCCTTTTCATGAAGGACCGAACAAAGTTTCAGTTTGATCACTCATATAGATTTCCTTGTAATTGATTTACCAAATGTTATCTCGTAACATATTGGCTCCGAGTTGTTTGGCTGCAGTTCAACCGGGAAACTCTCCTTGGGCGTATTAAATGTCACTAACTGATTTGCAAGTGACCTACCTCACGGTACTGCTCTTCTCTGTGATAACATACTTGCAGAGCTGGCAGGGTGATCCCAGAACTCTGCATCCTGTTCACTGTCACGTCTCTCTCCCTCCAGGGCTCGGTGGAGTGACTCACCGGTGACTGGGGTGGTCTCTGACACTTTGGCAGCCTTCCCTGGACGTGGACTTCCAGTCTCTTGACAGTGAGTTACCCAGGGACACTGAATCTGGGGTAGAAAGGCGTGCTTCCCAGGAAGGCAAAGGAAGGGGTGTTTAGATGTCTGTTCACACTCTATTATTATCCCTCCCCCTTTTCTCTCCACCTCTCTCTTCCATCCCCTTTCTGTCCTTCCATTCTCCTTGCTTTAAGTTCCTAGTTTTCTTTGCCTTAGTTCTCGCTTGCTGGTGCTATCTGGGCTTTACAAAACAAAAAACACATTGGTTCCATTCATACGCTGTAACCTAGTCCTTTAAAAAAAACATGGTGACTTCCTTGAATGGAGTCTTAAGCTGTCTTTGCCTGCGAAAGAGCCATTCCCAGGGCCTGCCATTGTTGCCCTCTCTTTCAGCTTGTGAAGTTTGTGCCCCATCTGCATTTTGGGCTAACCCACCCCCACTTCTCAGCCAATTGGCTATTGTTTTCCCTTCTTCAGAGGACAAGTGGACCTTTTAGTCTCAGCATAACCCTCATTACTGCACGTCTTTAATCTTGGGCACACATTATATTCTTGGTTCTGTTATACTTTCAGCACTCTTAAGCATTTATTAGTTTTTCTTTACCTTGGCTTTTTGTCAAAATGCACTTTTTTCTGACTGACTACAAAAATCTTAAGAAAGCAAAAAAAAATCATATGTGTAACAGAAAGAGAAATTTTCAGGTTTTCTTTCTCTTTACAGGTAAGCACTGAATTGTTTCTTTCCAATCTCCCCTCCCATTTTCTCCATCTCACACTAATACACACACAGATTGACTTTTAATATACATTTCATTCCAAAAAAAATTGCACTGAATGAAGTAGTCCATTTCTCTGACTTTGGTATTTTAAAGATCACGAGTAAAGTTAAAATTTAAAATCTCATTAATGAGTTAGTTTTGTAGCAGGTAGGGGAACCAGGATGTGCATAGAGGGAAAGGGCTACTTTCTAGTGTTCTGGGCAGTCCCTCAGGGCAAGCTAAACCAGCAGGTCCTGTGAGTTGGAGTGCAGCACTGAGCTGGGGCAGGTCCTGGCAGTGCAGAGTGCATTACTGGGGCTGAGGGCAGCAGCAGGTGAAGAGGCTGGGTGAGTGCCTCTCTCTGTGATGAAGATGGGGTGTGAGTGTTGGGAAGAAATGCTTTCTGAAGTTAGCTTCGCTGTGACATCTTCCTGAAGTACTGGGGTCAAAATGCACCCCTAGAGGAGCTGGTGGGGCTTTGGAGGAATGGCCCGTTCTCAGAACAGCTCTGTGTTTTAGGACAAAGGCAGAGGAACCACCACAATTCCCACTCAATATCCAAATGATGCTGCTTTATCTTAAACTACCTTTTCAAAATATTCTATTCTTATTTATGCACATGTGTGGATGTGTTATGTGGAATCAGAGTTACAAGGAGTTGTGAGCTGTCTGACATCAGTGCTAGGAATTGAACCTGGGTCCTCCAGCATCATAGAAGCTTTTCTATCGTTTTTTGTTTTTTGTTTTTCGAGACAGGGCTTCTCTGTATAACAGCCCTGGCTGTCTTGGAACTTGCTTTGTAGACCAGGCTGGCCTGGAACTCACAGAGATCCCCCTCCTCTCTGCCTCTGCTTCCCAAGTGCTAGGATTAAAGGTGTGTGCCTGGTAGGGGAGGTGGGGGAGGGAGAGGGAACTGGGATTGACATGAAAAACAAACTTGTTTCTAATTCAAATAAAAAAAACACGGGGGGAGGGGGGAAGGGGAGAATAAAGGTGTCTGCCGCCCGCCATGTTTGGCTATAGGAAGCATTCTTAACCTGGACCATCTCTCCAGTTCATAGTGGACTTTGCTGTGGCCAGTCTTTCTCCTTTGGAGAATGATCTTGGTCTTCATCCTGGGCTTTTCCTAATTGCTGATTCCTGGGATTTGTGGACCCCAACTCTCACCTATCCTGTTACTTGTGGGACAAGGGTTACCCAATGTGCAAAGTAGTTAATGCAAGACAACCTACAGGTCTAAGCTCAAATTTGAGTCATAGGAAGAGAAAGAGACAAGCAGACTACTGTTGGCAAAGTGACAAGAGACAAGTGTTTCCTTTTGTTTTTGTTAACTGAAATGTCAAACTTTTTTTTTTTTTGCGAGGAGTTGTGCCCTGTGTTTTTGGCTTGAGCTCATGACATCACTAACTGGATTTCCTCCAGTTGTACCCATTCTTGAAAAGCTGCTTCCAAATCCTGAGAATCATTAGTGAAAATTCTAGAGGTTTTTTGTGTCAGACAACCCAAGTTAAGAACGTTCTCTTGGGCCTCTGGACTTCATGTTTCTCAGTGCCAACTTTTCTGGCTCACAGCTCCTTTGTGGTGACCCCATAGGGTCACACCTACAGGTTCTGTGTTCCTGAGTCATGTTACTTCAACAAATGAGCTGTCATGAACTCTATACATGGGAAACAACAACGTCTTATCTGGAAGTTAGCCCTTAGGATGTCATCCCTGCCCCTGCTGAAGTCAACATCCTGCTCTCCTTGGCTATGCTCTTTCCCCTTGACTGTTTTGCCATCCTTGCTGTTGCTCTTTGCCCTCAAATCCATGTTGGAAAGAAGTGTCAGAGAGAACTTGTGTATCCCAGCCACCCAATGCTTGCAAATAAGACGTCAACAAACAGACTGACAAGAGAGCAGATTACTGTTCATGCAGATAATGGAGGAGTTCGAAGAGGGTGACTCAGAAAGTAGTTAGAATTTGGGGCTTGCTGCAATCTTAACAGAGATGGAAGGGGCCAAGTAACAGAGCAGCACACATGACTTGTGAGAGGGTGAGAATAAGGTGCTTTTGGAGAAACAATGTATTTCAGCTGTTACATTTTGGGCATGGCATTAGTGAGTTCCTTGTTGCTGCTGTTCTGTTTTTGTTGTGGTCTGGTTGACCTTGAATTTGTTCTGCGCTCTAAGCTGCCGGCAGATGTGAGAAATCTTCCTGCCTCAGCCTCTTGAGAGCTGGGATGACAGACATGTTTTGTTCTATCCTGCTCCAAATGATTCTAAATGCTCTAAAAGCTTAACTGGGACTTCAGGAAAGCAGGTGGGGAATATGCTAGTTTGGTGACAGTGGCTGTTTGGGTGCAGCATGGATTTACTAGAAGAGCAGATTAATGGCTCTTTGGATAGTGGAGTTGTTTAGGTGAGCTTTTACTTTTAGGCAGAAGGGGTTTCAGAAACTCAGATGTCTTCAGCCCAACATTTTTGTTATTGTTGTTTGTCTGTTTTTGTTTTTTTTTTTTTGGGTTTTCCGAGACAGGGTTTCTCTGGCTTTGGAGGCTGTCCTGGAACTAGCTCAGTAGACCAGGCTGGTCTCGAACTCACAGAGATCTGCCTGCCTCTGGCCTCCGGAGCGTTAGGATTAAAGGCGTGAGCCACCACTTCCTGACTCAGCCCAACATTTTTATGTCATTGTGTAATTCAGCTTTCTGTCACTATGACAAAATCCTAAGATAAATCCAGTTAAAGGGATAAAAGGTTTATTTTGGCTTGCTGTTGTAGAAGTTTTTGTCCGTGGTTGTTGGGTCCTGTATTGCTCTCGGTTTGTGGTAGTGTAGTTCATCTTGGTGGGAATACATAGTGAAGGAGGCCTCTTCTGAGTTGTGGCCAGGAAATGTGTGTGGGAGCCTGAGGGGTTCCAGTATCCGTCATGGCCTAACTTTCTCCTGCAAGACTCTCTCCTCAAATTTCTACCACTTTTCAATAGCTCCACAGCTGGTGACTAAGCCTTAACAGGTGGGTCTTCAGGAGACATTTCCAAATCAAAGAAACTACCGGAGTTCACTGAACCTCTTCATACATATCCATCATTTCTATTTACAACATGCTGTGGACTCTTCTCCTTGTCACCTCCAGGTACTTGAGGGGATACAACTGTCTGGAGACCACCTCTTGCCTGTGTCTTGGTTGCCTCTCTTATTGCTTGCTGTTGGCCTTCTGTTTCTGTAGTAGAGGATGCCTTCCTTATGGTCTCATGGGCTTTGTATTTCTTGTTTGGAGAATCCTTTCTTGAAAGGTGGGAATGGTGGAAATGAGACCAGGTCACATACTAGGAACAAACAAGAAAGATCTGCGCAAGCTCTAGCCGCCTGGCTTCAGCCCCAGACCCAGCCCAAGCATGGACAGAGATGAGCTTGTTGCCTTCTGAACCCTTGAGAAGCTGCTCTCAGTGATCCCTCTGGGCTAGGCTGGAGTTTGGTAATTGTCTCTTGGTCATGGGGTGTGGTTTCAAAAGATGTTTTCTTCCTGCTCAGGCATCTTGCTTTGAGGTTTGAGGCTAATGAGTGGTAAATTAATCCAGGAAATGCTGAGTTACTGTCTTGCATATGTCCTGCCCCTGTCTTTCTGTCTGGGCCTCTAAGGCTGAGGGACTGGGAAGCCAGCTACCCAGAAAGCACAGCCTGGGATACATCACTCAAGCCAGCAACAGGCCTAGTTAACTGTGTGTTAAGTTTCTGGATGAAACCCTTCTCAAATGTGTCCTCATGCCAAGCTGAGAAGAATTTGATCCTAGGGTTTAAGCAGCTGAGGGAACAGACACAATACACAGACAGATGCCAAGGCTCTGACCCTGAAATGTGTTTAGAGCGGAAGTGGGCTTTGTGTGTTTCCAAAGTAAACTGGGCAACTGTTGTCATAGACGACATGCCACCTATCTCTAGCAAGCTAGAGGGGAGGCTAATGGCATTTTTTTGCTTATCTGTGTGACCCCCACCCCACACTCTAGAGTGGGAGGACTAGCAAATTTTGGTTTAACTTAGATCAAGTGCTGCGATTTTGTGTTCACAGGTTGTCTGACACCTGAGTGATTCTAGAGATTTCCTGAGGGCATTTTATGGGTTTTCCCTGAGTGACCACACCTCACCCTCTGTCATTAGAAGACTCATTTTGGACCCCACCCCTTGGCTTGGTTGTGTCCTTTCTTCTGTAAATTCCTCTGAACACGTGGCCTAACTGGTACTTTTCAGCATAGCTGTTATTGGCACGATTTCTACAGGGTGACTGATGGGTAGTCTTCATTGCAGACTGTTTTTCAAATTGTCTGGGAGATTGGTGAGGCACTGCACATGTTTACATGTGTTTGCAAGTCAGGGTGTTACCTGAGGATTACTGAAGGCAAGACCACCTTGAATGTGGCCTTGAGAACGTGGGTGGCACCAAACCCCTGATTTAGAACCCAGAGGTCACAAAAGGGGAAAAACTGTAGTATGCCTTTCTCAGCTACTAAGCTCTACTAACAGAATATATAGGCTGACCCTCTAAAACTGGGAGTCAAAATAAATGTTTCCTTCTAAGCCAGGGATTTTGGCCACAATGATGTAAATGCAGGTAGTAACAGGTTAAGGGCCCAAAGCTGACTGGCCTGTGGGTTCCCTTGAGGTCCCTGACTGTTTCATTCACAATATCTAAGTTGATTGCTAGTCTGGGACCATTCGGAACCCATCATATCCTCCTAAGAACATGCTGCTTTTACCTCCAGTACCTGTATTTGTTTATACTCCCACCCTCAAAGAGATTGACTGCTGGTTCTTAAAATTTCTTGGCTCCCTTCTCTGCCCTGTATTCATCTCCTTGCTTGGTGTGTCTCACATACTGTGTGCAGGCTCACAGTGTCCTGTGTCTTCATCCCTTCCCAGTCGGACATGCTCTAGAGGGAAGGGAAATTATCCTTATGCCTCCTCATGTTTCACTCACAAAATCAGAAATTAGACAGGAGAAAGGGCTTGCATGTTTGTTCATATGCCAAAAAGTAAGACTGTGTTGCAAAAAAACCATGGGCTTGCATCTACCCAACTTCTTAATATTACCACAAGAGCAGGAACCTAAGACAGCTTTGAGAGTTTGTGAATGATTATCCAGGGAATGAACTGAGCCAAGCCATAGGGATTGGAAGGAGCCTAGGGCCATACATTCTCCTGTAGTTTCCCTCTATTATTATTATTATTATTATTATTATTATTATTATTATTATTTTCTAGGATGGGATGGAAGTCAGGCTAGGGCTAGGAAGTAACCAGTTCCACTATGTGATGAGGGAATCCAGTGTAGCTTTCTCATTTTCTCCAGATCAGATTGTATGTGCTCAAACCACCTTGTTCTCTGAGGCCCCACAGTATTTATTACCTGTTACATTGCTGTGATAAAAACACCTTAAGCCAGGTAACTTATAGCAGAGTTTATGTAGCTCTGGATGGGTAAAGACCACCATGGCAGGAGCACAGGGCAGCAAGCAGCATTTGTGGAGGCACAGGTAGGAAACCAAGTTTACATCTTTAATTGCAAACATGAATCAGAGACAGCAGGATGGGAGGCCTGGTCCTAAAGTCTGCCTCTGGTGATATATATCTTTTGGCAGGGCTTTAGCACCTAAGCCACCCCCAACAGGACCCCAAGTTAGGGACCAAGTTTTCAAATCCTAGAGACTTTGGGGGACATTTTTTCATTTAAACCATCACACCAGAGATGCTTTTACACTAGGCATGTGCTGAATCCCGAGGACACTGAGCAAAGGTCCAGGCGCCAACTGCTGACTTACATCATCGATATGCAGAGTTTCACATTCCTCAACTGAGGCAATGCTGTTGTGCCTCCTGGGGTCTTTCACTCTTAGAATCTTAGAATCATGTTACCCAGGCAAACTTTAGAAATGTACTGTGCCATTAAAATAATAGGTGGTGCTAGCAAGATGGCTCAGTGGGTAAGCACTGTTGCTGCTAAGCCTGAACCTGAGATTGCTCTCCAAAACACATGACGGAAGGAGATCACTGACAAATTATCCTCCAACATCCATATATACAATGTGGCATGCCCATGCCCATCCTCAATAAAATAAAATAATGTAAATGTCAAAAAGGTTTTAAAAGCCTCATTATGACCAGCATCCAGTTCTGAGGGACAACAGCATTAGGGACTACTTCTCTCACTACCCACCAGCTCTGTGCTTCCTGTAACACCGCCAGGCAAAGCTGCCCTGGCTCCTCTCCTGCCAGACTTAAGTGCTCTTTCCCTGCACCATGCTTGACTTGGGAATGTTGGTATCACAGGGTAAGGGTGCCTGTGATGCCTCTCAGTGGAGCAACTTCCTGGGTTCCATCCTCAATATCTCCACAATAAAAACAATACAACTCACTCCATTGTTGGCTTCCTTGGTTGGACAGCAACAAACTGGTATTTCCCGGCAAGTGTGTCACTGATGCCAAGTGCGATCAAGCCAGATGAAGAGGGACAAACACCAACTACGGGGGAGTTTCTGCTTTGGAACCAACTACTGTAATGGTCTCCAGTTTACTAACTTTACTTCAAACGAGCAGTGTGTTTGGATAAGAGCTATAAATACATTTCCCAGCAAAGGGGTCTTTTATTCAGCCCAGCTTTAGGAAATGTCTCCACGCAGCCTGTAGTTTTACTGAGTGGCCTGTGACCCATGGCTCTTCCTGATGCTCTCCTTTCCTTACCGCCCACCAAGGAAACTCAGCTCTGCTGGCTGCTTGAACCCACACCAGCTTCAAGTCCTTGCCCTCTGAACAGCATCCTCTGGAGTTGGCAGCTGCTCTACCTCTTTTCAAATCCCTGCAACCTCTGCTGCCTTTAAACAGGAAGAGGATGTTCAAGACTTCCAGAAGGGCAAGACATAAAAAAGGGTGTGGGTAGGCTCAAAGACATCCTGACTGTTGCTGGGATGCCATGCTAGGAAACTTGAACTTTATTCCTAAAATGCACAAGTGTCCACCCATGTGAACTTCACATACACACATATCTGTCTCTTTGCACAGACTTCTTGATGAGTGATATCTCACACCACCCTAGTTCCCTTTGGGTTAATTCTGTTTTGTGTGATGTTTTTTCCCCTTAGGTCCTGCAACAGTGAGAGGATGGCAGCTACAGGAACTGAAGCAAAGGACCTGGAAAATCATCACAAGTAAGACTGACACAGGCTGGGCTCTGTTGGTTTTACTAAGCATTCTTTTTTTTTTTTTCTTTTTCTTTCTTTTGTTTTTGTTTTGTTTTGTTTTTTTTCGAGAGAGGGTTTCTCTGTATTGTTTTGGAGCCTGTACTGAAACTCGCTCAGTAGACCAGGCTGGCCTCGAACCCACAGAGATTTGCCTATCTCTGCCTCCTGAGTGATGGGATTAAAGACATGCACGCTACCACCACTAAGCCTTCTTTAATCAGCTCGGTTTTCAAAGTTCTTTACGTGTGTTACCATGTGACGCTCACAGCAGTGAGTGAGGGATGAAGGGCTTCGGAGGACTTGCAAATATTCAGATCCTTAGTCATCAGGACATGTGTGTTCAGAAGAGCAGGCAGGTCAGTGCTCAGATATGTGTCTTTCAGGTTTCCTTCTATACGTGCCATTTTTTGTTTTTGTTTTTGTTTTTGTTTTGTGAGACAGTCTACCGGTGTATCTCCTAGATCGATCTTGTTTCTGAATCTTGAATGTTTTTTTTTCCTCCTTTCTTTGTAGTTTTTCCTTATTCAAGTGTGTGTTTTTCATGAGTTCTCTTGGGTTTAGACTTTGTTAAAGAGCCAAACATTTGTTGTCTTTCTCTGACTCCAGTGTGTGGATGTTCAGGCACATCCTACCCAGGGTTCTGAGCATGCTGTAGTGAGTGCATGCTCTGCCCTGAGACCTCCTGCATGGGTTTGAAGTCCACCGAGCCTCTCTCATTTCTGCACTTCAGGGCTGTCAGCCATCTGCTGGGGCTCTGTGAGGTAGCTCCCGTCCTGCTCCTGTCCTGCTCCCGTGTGGCCTCAGCAGTTGGCTCTCCATGAATATTTGGTAAATGAACAAGGTGACAATGAAGCATAATGAATACAATTGAGATCCAGGCAGGCTAAATAGTTTTGTTTGTCCCTGACTTGTCACTTTGAATCCTTTAATCAGTGTATTGGGGACCGTTACAGCTCACATTCATATCAGAGTGAATGAGTTTTAAAATCATGCTCTTCTCAGGGTTATGCCCCTTCCTTCTGCTCTTCCTGGATCTGACAAGTAAAAAAAAAAAAAAAAAAGTTTTCTCTGTGTGGCTTCGTTATCTTAATCATATCCTGTTGGGTCATTTTGAAGTATAAAGTTGCCCTTCTGTTTTGTGTTCCATATTTGCCACATCCTGAAGGAGGATATGGTTAGATGCCTGAGTATGTTGTGATGATTGGAATTTCAGATTGTCCTAGAGATCAAAAATGATTTCTGGGAAAGTTTAGCTATACATGCCCTGCATTTGGTCCTGTGAGAAAGGGCTTCCTCCTCCTTTATCCCTCCCTCTCATAAAAAGCCAGGAACTCTGCCAGGAGAATGGGGTCAGTAGGTGGGCACATTCTGTGCCTTGGCCAGGTTGCTTGTTCTTTCTAAGCAAGGTTCACAGCCCGGGGTGTGGTGGGCAGTGGCCCTGCATGTATGACTGGTATGTGTGTGTGCTGTGAATCTCTACATTGTTCCTGAAGTGGTCAACCCACCTGCCTCCTACTCTCTTTGTGAGAGAGCTCTGACTTTCTCCTGAGTCTTAAGCTATGCTTATCAGTTGTATAACAGTCTTAAAGTTTCATGTGTTGACTTAATCTGGACACCGCCTAAGGGAATAGATTGGAGGGGGGTTTGAGAAACACAGAAGGGGGCAGAGAGGACCAAGGGAGAAGAGGGAGTCAGCCTTGGTGTCTGTTCTTGAGATTGAGTACCAGAAAGAAAAACAATGGGGACTAGATGAAATAAATCAATCAGAACAGATCTATTTAACTTTCTTTCATCTTTGTGCAACTGTGTGTGTGTGTGTATGGTAAATAAACAAGACATGACATAACCCCCAGGAGATTTTGATAATTATAATTATATTGATTGCATAAATTTTTCTAAAGACAAAATGTAGATAGCCAGGTTCATTGAATATGCCTGTAATCCCAGCACTCAGGAGGCTAAGGCAGGTGTATTGAGTTCAAAGCCATTTTGGCCTAAAAATGAAACCTGCCTAAAGAAAAAGAAATGGGAGCTGAGGGAGTGGCTTGCTTGCCTCACACACCAGGGCATCTGTCACTAGCATTACATAAGATGGGCATGGTGGCATGCACCTATAATCCAGCACTGAGGAGAGAGAGGCAGGGAGATCAGAAGTTGAAAGCTACATAGCAAGTTGAGGCCAATCTGGGATACAGTGACATCCTGTCTCCAAAAAAAGAAAGTAAGTTAGTGAACAAAACAGGTGAGCATGCTCTGGAAGGAGCTTGACGGCACAGTTCTCAGGAAAAATTCCATGCTCAACTCAACACATATCATTTTCAAATTATTGTAGGCCAAGAGATTCAGTATTTCTATATTGCAGTGATCTCTGGATCATTGCTTTCTCATCTTTTTCTCATGACTTAGATTGAAGAAAAGTGTCAATAGTTGGTCTGGGCAGAAAGTCAGACTCAAGGAAGGAATGATAGTCATAATCACTCCATATTCAAGGCCCTACATATTCTTTATCCTGCCAAGGAGACACCTGTTTGGGAATCAGGAGGTACATACTGTTGAGGCAGCTATGTTGAAGGCTGGCTCTGAGGAAGCTTAGCCAGGGTCAAGATGGGGTATTTGTAAATCAAACTACATTGAAGTATAACATCATGTCTTTGCCCTCCTTGTCGCCGTTGCTTTCAGGAGACAGTGGCAGACTTGTGACAGAAGCATAATGGCTCATAACCATATTTAGCATATGGCTTTCTCTGAAACAAATTCTGTCTGCCAACCTTCCTTTAGAGCAGAATTATGTTACTCTGTATAAGTAATTTGAATCACATATAAAATGTTGTAGTTTCCTACAAAAAATCAAAATGGTAGGAAGTTATATCATGACAATCTTTTTAAGAAAAAGATTGAAGGTTTACTTTATGTGTTTGGAGGCCAGAAGAGGGCAGTGGATTCCTGGAACTGGAGTTACAGGTAGTTGTAAGCCACCATGGGAGTGCTAGGAATAGAACTCTGGTTCTTCCTCAAGAGCAAGTGCTCTAAACCGCTGAGCCACCTTGTCATCCCCTCATGACACTCTTAGTGTCACAGTTCTGAGGAGTGGTAGCTAATACAACAAAACACGGAAAAGAAATTATAGGCGCTCAGATTGGAAAGGTTATCTCTGCAATGGAGGAGTTTTTTTTTTTTTTTTCCTATTTGTCTGTATTTCCAATATTGATCATATTACTTTCAAAACAGTCAAGTTTATGTATTGAATAGGTGACATGGATATAAAGTAGCATTCTTTGTGTTGGATGATTTATCAATCTGATCTTTATAATTTTGTGGGCTCTTCTGAGGTTTGCCAATTGCCTCCAAACGGGGCTCAAGGAGAAAGAGGAATTAGAAGGAAGGAGAAAGGGAAGTAGGGACCTTGGCAATGTGGGGTTATCTTCTCCCCATAATCCACTTGTCTCTTCCCCTTCATGTCCCTCACGCACCTCATGGATCTGGAACATATTCGTGGTAATGCTGGACATTGCACACCCATGTTCTATAAACCTTTCCCTTTTTGTTTCTAACAGTGACTGCTTCGTTCAAGTTTCAAATCCAAACATAGCAACAATGAAGGAAGATGTTCTCTACCACTTCAACCTCAGCACTAGCACACATGATTTCCCTGCTATGTTTGGAGATGTGAAGGTAAAATGCCCAGGCTTTGATTCTGCACTCAACTTCCTCTTTGGTACAGCAGGACCTGTGTGCAGATGATTGACAGGAAACAGGATTACATTTTATCTTTATCAGACTTTTGCTTTTGTTACCTTTTATTTATAGGGATTAGTGAGTAAAAGAGAGAACAAATGTTAACTACTGCTACGTTGGCCTCTACTTTGTCTCTTAGAACTTTCATATGAGAGTGAACAGCATGAGAGACTTCTGAGTCATACAAGGTAGCCTATGTCTGTAGTTCCAGCGACTCCAAAGACTGAGGCAGGAGAATCACCTCATCTTGGGAACTTGGGGGCAGCCTAGATAACAGAGAGCTGGGAAGGACTTCTAAGAGGTGCAGTGTCAGTATGGAGAGCCTGTATGACCCCTGCTTGTTGAAGGTGTATATAGATGAGACTGTTTTTCATTATCTGAGGGAAAATTTTGATGAAGACACCTCCACTACCAAGTGTTCAGTTCTCAGTGGTAATTTGTCCTAAATTTTTATAAAATTCCTTGTCAAAACTTATTTCTAATTGACACCTAAGTATGTTTGCATCCTTTCAAGGAACAGTGTTACATTTCAGTTTATGTATATGATGTGAAGAGACAAAACAGTGGTCAGCATGTTCACAACTCAGCACTGATCATTTTTTGGGGTCTATAACATTCAGAATCTTATCTACTAGCTATCTTGTGGTTTACATTTAGTTGTATTAACTATAGGTAGTTACCATATGATGAAAACAGGATTCTTCAATGTCTAATCTCCATGAAGATGAATTAACATGATGAATTAAAAACCAAGATGGGCTCAGAACACCAAAGCTGGGCCTCATCTGCCATGGGTAGAACTCACCGTTGGTAGTAAATGGTGGGCAGCTTTCATGTTTTCTTAATTTATTGAATTTCCATTTATCCCAATATTGATAATCTATTTTTTTTATTGCAGGCCATGCAAATGTCCTTTCATGTTTAGAGATGCATTTATTTCTTTTGTCTTCAGATTCCATTAAATCACTTTTTCACTATTTACTCTTCTTTGGCAAAATAAAATGTCCTCTTAGATGACACTTGGCAAAGTGAAGGTTTTATTTCTCTTCCTACAAATTCCCAACCCCCTACTGGGCCGCTATTTTTTGCTACTCAGGTTTCCAAGTGAGAGAGTGATTGGTGGCCCATTTTAACACATTGACTCTGATCAATCTAAACCCAAACTCCCTTCCAGCACCTCCCACCTGGTGTGTAAGGCCAAGTGTGGTGCCTGCTGTTGCCTTTTCAAAGGGAGAAGAGTCTGGGTCCCTGCATGTGTGGAGCTGACTGCCCTGTGCTCTGGGTGCCTGTACTGAGCAGTGATTCCTAGACCAGTGCTACTATAAACTCCCCAGGATCACTGCCTTAGATACACTTGGTGCAAGTCAGGCTTGAAAATTTGCTACAAAGTTCCCAGATGACCACAATGCTGCCCATCAACTTGAAGACCTCTATTGACCAGGCATTGATGAGGTCCCCACTCTCTGGTTTCAGTTTGTGTGTGTTGGTGGAAGCCCTTCCAGGATGAGCACCTTCATCAAGTATGTGGCTGCTGAGCTGGGCCTTGACCATCCAGGGAAAGAATATCCCAACATCTGTGCAGGCACTGATCGCTACGCCATGTATAAAGTGGGACCTGTGCTGTCTGTGAGCGTGAGTACTTGCCTTTCACTTGGATTTAGTCTCTGCCCTGCAAGGCCCTGTGCCCCACACTTCTGCCTTGGTGAACAGCTGAACAGCTGGTGCCTTAACATTTGTTTACTGTAAATGGCTGGGAGCATGGTGAGCTCTGGGCAGCTGGCATCTGGGCATGAGTTAAGTCCTAGGCTCCAGCCCTTGAGGTTGGGCTTCCTGGAGAGCCTCTGTATACAAAAGCAGATACACGTGTAAATATGCACAGCTGTCCACTCAGTGTGGGGTGGCAGGTGTGGGGGAGGGCTTCCCTGCCTGGCCCATGGCTATGAGAAGAGCCACATGCCATGTCTCTTCTATCTCACAGTGACTGACCTGCTTTATTATAACACATGTTGTGAGCAATAAAAAGTAATTACAGAAATCTCCAGTATCCCACCAAAGGGATCATTTCCTAGCAATTGATTTCCTTTGATGGCAGTAATATAATGAAGAACTACAGCTCAGCAGTGGATCCCCGTCCTGCTGAGATGTGTGTCTGGACATATCAGCTAGACCTCCAAGCGTATCAGTCATGTAGAATTGCCTGATAGCAAAGTCACCTTGTCGAAGCATTTCACTGTGATGGACATTCTCAAAGGGGTCCCTTTGCAGTAGGGCTCTGCCCAGCACCTACCTGGGGAGGGGAGAGGAGGTGTCTTAGGAGATCTGACTGTGAGAGGGTCTTTAAAAGATGTGTGGAGTAGGGTTGCCTTGTGGTGGAGGCTAGGGGGATGTGGCAGGGACAAAAGTGTGGAGATTATCTATGTCTGGAATTGAGGAACCAGCCAGTTATGCTTTGCTAAACTGGAGAGGGCAGGAGAGAAGTGCAGTGGCAAAACCTTATCTGGTATGGGTAAGGAAGGGCCTTTGCGCATGGCTTCAGCTATCAGAAAGAAATGCTTGTTACCTAGCAATAGCAGCTGCTTCCTCCCACCATGCAGACTATGTGAGTCAAGGTAGGTAGGTCATAGGACAGCTCTGTTAATATTTTGAAGTCTGTCCATCATTGCTATATGATGATTTTATTAGTTGAAATATACCACATAAAACATACAGTAATCTCCTTCAAAGACCCCAGTGGATGTCTCCAAGCAGAAGAGCACCAAAACTGATAAGTGCACAAGACTGTGACCCATTTTACTTGTGAACTAGGTAAAGCAAAAGAATGGCAATAATGATTCACAAAGTAGAATAATTATAACTGTATAATAATAATGAAAGTTAGGAGAATGTTCCTTCAAAATCTCATTCTGTGCAAAGCTTTGTTGTCTTTGGGTGACTTAAAATGAGGAGTGTCGTCTGTTGGGAGGGACTTGTATATGCATTGACAAAGGCACAATGTTGGGTTTAGCCGCAGCACTTTCTCTCTGGTTCCAGCATGGCATGGGCATTCCTTCCATCGGCATCATGTTGCACGAGCTCATCAAGATGCTGTACCATGCCCGGTGCTCCAACATCACCATCATCCGCATTGGCACTTCTGGTGGAATAGGTGAGGATTGAGGATTGATTTGGGCCCTGTGGGTGGAGGAGGGGCCAGAGCCCTGCGGTGGCTCCAGCATGGTAAGAACACATACAGGATTATCCAAGGGCTTTCCTCTCTGCCTGTCTCCTCATTCCATCAAAGTATGTATTGGGTTGTGGGATACAAAACTAACAAAAGAGGCCCGAAATTAGCTCAGAAGTTTCTAATCATTGACAACCACCCCCAACCAAACCCAAGAAACCAAAAGCTAAAAACCAACCAACCAACCAAACAGCCCCTTCCCCTACAAAAACCCACAATCTAAGTAGCAAAGACGAGGTTTTGATAAGACTGCAGAGCACCCAAGACTTGATTTGCTCTGGTCTGCTTTCTATTATAAAGGCAAAAGGTCTGCTTGGGCTCTTGACTGTGGCCCATAGCTGAGTGAAACCTTGCTAGTAGTGTCTAGGGATGGCACAGGGGTTCATCATGTATGTGAGATGGGGAGTCGTGCCCTAGTCTCGGCCACTCATCCATCATTAAACTCAGTGAATGTGTTAATCCATCCTTTAGGGCCATGCATCGGTCATTTTACACAGGTTCCACCCAGCCCAGAGCCTTCCTGTTTCACAGTGGAGATTTTATTTCAGTGTGGGATTTGGAAGTCGGGTGTGTGTGTGTGTGGGGGGGGGGGGGGGTGGGGGGGTTACATAT